AGCCTGGGTGAAGCCTGGCTCAAGCAGGGCGAAGCTTGGGTGAAGCTGGGTGAAGCCTGGCTCAAGCAGGGCGAAGCTTGGGTGAAGCTTGGCTGAAGCAGGGTGAAGCTTGGGTGCAGCCTGGCTGAAGGATGAACATGGTCCCTTCGGAAGTCCCTTAGACTCGGTGCATCGCGCAGCGATTCTCCACGCGTCACAACGGTGCAAGTTCGCGGCGCTTGCCCCCGGCGACCCCGGCAAGTCGCAGGGGTCGACCCGTCGCCACTTGAACCAGAAGAAGAAGAAGAAGGAGGTGCCAGCAATTTAGTAGGTCTTTTCATGTTTTTCTCCGAGAGCTGGTGACCAACGCTGGCCAAATGGAACACGTAAGTCGGCTTAAGTCGGCTTCAGTTGCTGAAGTCAAACGCTGATACAGTATATTGTCTGCGTCCTCCGTTATCGCCCCAGTATAGCCCTGGTTTGGTAGGTCGGGTCGTGTCGCTTCCAAACGCTCAACTGTTTCCACTCCCAACTCCACCAAACTCCACATTCCATGTCCAGTTTGCTCCGTCATGGCCGGCAGCCCCCCATCGTCTTCACGGACGGGCTTGGCCACATTCCGCTGACCCAAGCGTTCCTGCGCCAACCTCGGCCGGCCGTTGAGGCGAAATCGAGGCGAAATCGGGGCGCCCAAAGGGTGTGGAGCATGAAGGGGGGGTGGATGAGGGTCCATTGAAACCTGCGGTGCAGAATCGGGCAGCCGCCCATGGGGAGGCAGCCGCCCAACCAGTTTGGCCAAAGCGACAAGAACCGTAGCAGGAGGGATCTGGTTCAAGCCTGCCTTCCTACAAATCCGAAAATCAACATGTAAGCACATGAGTCATAGGAGTGCCAGTGTCCTGCAAAGCCTCTCCGGACTCTAGCCAGGTGCTCAAGGCAGGCAAACTTTCATCAACGTGACAAGTTTATGCCATTGTCTCTGCAGGCAAGAAAGGCATAAACACATAACCTTTGGGTCATGGTGAATATTTTAAAATATTTCAAAGGCTCCCCCATACTCAATTAGACAATACATGCCATTTTGCAAAAATGGCAGTGAAAGTGCCAACTATACAAGTTAAATCAATTGCACTTAAAAAGATCACGTCCGTTCATTTCAACAACTCAGTCCGTCTGTGTCTGAGATGCTTTAGTAGCAACTGTTGCCGATGATTCGACACACGCATGAATTCCGTGTATGAAGCCCATGGGGAACTCCTCGTGTGCCTCTCCCACCAATCGAATAACATACAATGGGTTTAATTTAAATAAGGGACCACCCGCACCCATGGGTTGTTAGTCTGTTTTCCTTACACACACCCAAAAACCACTCCCTCTAATACACCACCACATGGGACATGAATGGACGTGACCTGAAATCCGCAGTCTAGCTCACCATCAAAGCACCTGCTACATTCAAACGAATCGACGAAGGACTCGGGGGCGGACGAGTTCACCAGCTTCATTGGAAGCTTGGGGTCTCAAGACACTTCTCAAGACCTATATACCCCAATGGCTTCCACAATCCCTTACAACATGCACGGTTGAATCGTATATCATCCATGGCATTCCATGGCAATATCCATTGGGGAACTTTACCATAATTTTGTAGATGTAACATTGTAAAAATTGTGAATATAATGCCACAGGATGCCACGGTGATAATGTACCTAAATTGAAGAAGTCCTGCACTCAAACCCGCTGCCCTAAGAACCCAAGCACAGGAGGTTGCCCTTTCTTGGAGCAACTTGTGAGTAGTGCAACAAAACACCTGATCTCGACCCGGTGACTTCAACCCCTCTTTGTATTCCTGAAGGTCGTCTGCTACTTTCCATAGTTTGTTGGAGAGATGGTCAACCTTCAACTCTTTCCCTGATAGGTACACTCTAGAAGACTAACATGGACCCTGAAAATCACTGCTTGGTAGAGGAAAACCATCTTCCAAGCATTGAACCCGGGTCCATGTGAGTTGACTTGGGAGTGGTTCACGCATCCATCTGAGCCCACAGCTCCTACCTCATCGTCCCCTTGTCCTCCCTCCGGCCGAAGGCACGGCATAGAGACTTGCCCCGTCTTGGGCGTGCGGCCACAGACCAAGGCCCAAAAGTCCCGTTGCCAAAACGCGCGTTGCGCGATCATGTCCTCCACGGACAGCAGCGCGACAGCTGGCCGTGAATCCGGCAATTCCCTAGCTTATAGGCCCAGGGTAGGGGCTCCTGGCCTACCTCGGTTTCGAAGGTGGTTGGGGTGGGTGCCAGGGACCTTCCGAGGATATGGTTGGAGCCCCTAGGCCCCTAGGGATAGAGTAGGGATATGACAGGGTCAAAGTGATCAGAGTAGCCAAACCATGCAAATCATGCAGCACAGAAATTTTGACACATGCTCACTCTGTAAAACGTGTTTTCCTTCAACTTTGGGTGCGAGGAGCGCAAACGCAAACTGCAAAAACAACCAAAACCCTCACTCCTTCGCATATGCCTTGGCCGCAGGATGCCTGGCTAGCAGCAGGACACCCGACATCTCAGTGCTCAGCCTGTGAACAAAGGACGGTGGCTCCTGATGGCAGTCGTGGCAGTCGATGAAACGAAAGCCATGAACCCGGTCGAAGAAACTGATTCTGCAATATACACCCAGTATTATAGATTAACGTTGATTATTTGGGATACAGCCATTCCTGGGACATGGGGATTTTTGCAGGCACACGTTTGGGGATAGAGGTCGAAGAACCGACAGGGACACTCTGGCTGTTTCATACATATCCCAGACACGACCCATGGGACTGCCATAGGACTGCCGATCAGGCCAGGGGTGGTACCAGAGGGGTCAATGGGGCGGCATATATGGCAGTCCCATGGAGTGTCTGGGCATTGTTTTTAACCAAAGGGTGCATGTTCCATGCTCACCACATCACCACTGTGAATACTGGATCTGGTGGTGCGACAGGTTGACCAACACCAGTCCTTGAGGTCTTGAAATTCTCCAAGTAAAATAACTTATATCCTAAGGTCGAGTAGTATTCTGTAGGCATCACCTCATTTGCAGTTTCCACCCAGCATCCCAACACCCAGTCCCCCCAATGAATCATCATTAATCCCCTCGTCCCTCACATGCCCGGACGAGGGGGGGCACCGGCAGCTCCTCCATGCCGAATTGCAAAGTAGGCAGAAGCCTCTGCAAGTGCAGATTGCCAACCTTCTTCCTCAGCCGCAGGTGGGACCCTCGCAACTTGCAACTGGACCAGTCGCGGGAGCTCTGAGGAAGAGAAGCTCGCGGCGGAAAGTGGGGGAAAGCTCGCAAACTGAACCTCCGCTCTCACTCCAACTCCGCGGATGGGTTCCATCCGAAAACCTCCAATCCCCCGAAGGATCAAACATGATCGAACCACCCAGCCAGCTGAGCCTGAAAGAACAGAAATCACCTTCAGCTACCCAGCGAAATTAAGCCAAGGGAAAGCACACACATATGCCTCATATGCCAGACATGACCAGTCTGGGACTGCCATGTTGGCCATCCCATGGCTGGGTGATTGGTTTCCGGGGCATTCGTCGTCTATGCATTTTACATTCCATACGACATGGAATGTCTGGGTGTGTGATCAAATTATATAATAATCTAATATAATCTAATATTTGATAGTATAGTATACACAGACTAATGATAGTATATAGGTCTAATTAGGCTCCGTAGGCGTGGTAGGGCCAGGTGCAGGACCTCAGGAGTAGTGAGAATAAGAGAGTTGACCAAGACCACTCGATCTGTGAGTCTCGATGATTCTTGGCTCATCACCCCAACACCACTGAGTGCCACTGACCTATATAGTATGTTTTTGTATATAACTCAACATGGCTTTCGCTGAGTGAGTTGGAGGAATCCTCGAAACCCGCCTGTGCGTCTACGTTTGGATCAGCGCCTCCAGCACCGCTCGCGCTCGCGCCGTGGGCGAAGCGTTGCGGACACCACGCGTTAACGCGACGCTACGCGACGGGCGCTGCAGGGCCTAACGAAGCGAAAACGCCGAGCAACGCGTCAGTCACGTTCGACGGGGTGCGATCCATGGAGGTTAGGGGTGCCCCTGTCACATCCACTCTAGGGACTAAACACCACCCCGTCTTGTGACTGCTGGTGGTGACTCCTAGACCCTCCAAGAGGTGTTCCCTGGTGACAACAGATGCCCCAAAAAATCATCTGTTAGGGTCAGCCATGGTCAGCCTGTTGGAGCGTCCTGGCACAGCCCCATGGCTTCGCGTGTTGCAGCCCAAAAGGCCCTGGGTTCACTGTCCATCCGATGGGCTTGTCGATGGCTATGAAGTCGGTGTCCTTGTAGATCACTCCTGTGTCGGGATCAGTCAGTTCTTCTTCAAAGCGCCACTTGGAGGGTCTGTGTGCCTTCTGTTTGCTCCCCAAATGTCCTGTCTACATGCCTCCCTGTGAAATTTGTCCATCCAACAATTCATATATAGATTCATACAGATGTTCCAAAATTGGGGCCAAGAACTCCGATTCGTTCTCACCCAACGGCAAATCAATAGAAGTTCCTGCGGACCCTTTTATCCAAGACACGATGCAGTAGCAAGTGGTCCAGCTGGCCCGACGCTAAAGGTTCCCGACGCTTGGGCACGGGGCTCATGGTCTTTGGGAAGTAGATGAAATCCTGGCGCCAACGTTCCAACCAGCCAACGGTCCATATGGATCCATAATGGTCGGTCTATGGAACAGCTAGTGCCGGACAGTTACTGGGTGTTGACATTGGGCCCCCAGCTGCGCAGGCTGGCATCGTCAGTGCTGTTTCGTTTAAACAATCCAGCAAGTTTGGCCCTTCAGAGAGGCTCTCCACCTGGTCATCTGAAAGCAGGTCCAGGGACGGATGCAACCACCAAAGATAATGTTTCATTGAGGGCTTGGGTGAGTCATGGTGCTTCTGGCTACTCACATTTCTTCAGTGCATTGCTGCATCTAGCGGCCCTCCAAGTGTGATTACACTTCTTCCCACAACACCCTTCCCAACACCGCGTGTGGTCCACCTCTTTCTGGCGTGAACTCTGCAAAACTGCTCTGTCTGCTGCGACTTCAGGTGACCTTTATGGTAGAAAAAAAGACACCTTCCCTTCGCTGATCCAGGAAGCCGGGGACAAAATATGACATTCTGCAGGTAAGGGACCGGTTTTTCGGGGATTTCCCCCCCAGTTCGGACGATTCGATCCTCTGATCCAATCCAACGGATCACCCGGGATCCCGTTCGGCCGAGACCGGGGTTGGGTCGGTCTCCTGGGGCTTCACCGAGGTCTTTCCCAGGCATTGGGGCCGAAAGCGCGGGATCTTCACGCAGCGCTGGTGTTGATCCACCGAGCTTTCGGGCGCCATCACCTCTTCAGCTTCGGGGGGGACGGCGCGGACGACCCAAGCCGCACGGGGGACGGCGAGGAGGATGGATTGGTGCCAGACACGACCTGTCTGGGACTGCCTACGCTGCGCCGCCCCAGAAAGACCCCCCACTCAACCACCCCTGGCCGTTTCTCGGCAGTCCTATGGCAGTCCCATGTGTCGTGTCTGGGGGTGTAAAAGTTAACCGTTCAGGAGTGCCGGTGGTACGGCCATCGTGTCTATGAACCACCCCGATGCGGGGTCCATCCCACAACCCCCCCCCCCCTTGGGGGTCTTCCGGTATGGAAGGAAAGTGTCTCACTCTGACTGCAGTCTGTAGTGATGTGCTGGATGCTTGGGAAAAAAAAACATGAAAGAAACGGCCCAAACCCCTGAGCCGAGGCCCAGGCGTATTACTCTGACGAATTCGCCTAGCAACACGCCACTACTTCAGGGCTGTGGATGTCCTCTCCAAAACGTCTTGGGACCAAGGAGTGCTAGCGGCCAAGCATCCTTTTTCTCTGCAGCCTGTGCCTTCCAGCATCTGAAAAGCCCTGCAGCCTGCACTTGCAAGGCAAAGATCTCTGGAAGAAAACGGGTTGAGGTCACATGAATGTCATGGCACGAAGCACAAACATTATGACTTAATTTAAGTCATATCTTACGCGATATGGCAGCTTGAAAAGGTGTGCATTTGAGACCCGGTGTCGGCCGACAAACTGCTATCTATAAAGTCGCCATCTCTAATGCTGGTCAACGACTGTGGGAAAGTCAAGTCTGCCAACGATGTGCAACCCTCAAAGGCATTATTCCCAATGTGCGTCACTGAGTTCGGGATGGTCAAGTGTGCCAAAGATCTGCAACCCCGAAAGGCGTTGTCCCCAATGTGCGTGACTGAGTTCGGGATGGTCAAGTGCGCCAAAGATCTGCAGCCCTGAAAAGCACCATTTCCGATATGTCTCACTGAGCTTGGGACAGTCAGGCTTGCAAAAGCGCAACAACAAAAGGCATAGTCCCCAATGTGGGTCAAAGAGTTGGGTACAATCAAGTCCACCAAGGAGCTGCAACCCATAAAGGCATCAATCCCAATGTGAGTCACAGAGTTCGGGATGGTCAAGCTTTCCAACGAGCGGCAAGCCAGAATGGCACGGTCCCCAATATGCGTCACTGAGTTAGGGATGGTCAAGTTTTGCAAATGGCTGCAGTCCTCAAACGCACCATTCCCAATGTGGGTCACTGACTTCGGGATGGTCAATGTTTTCAACGCGCAACGAAAAAAGGCATGGTCTCCAATGTGAGACATTGAATTCGGGATGGTGACATCTGCCAAAAACTTGCATTCCGCAAACGCACCATTTCCCATGTGTACCACTGAGTTTGGGATGGTCAGGCTTGCCAAAGTGCAACCACGGAAGGCATTGTCCCCAATGTGTGTCACAGAGTCTGGGACGATGGTCAAGCATACCAAAGAGATACAGCTCCTGAATGCCTCATTCCCAATGTGTGTCACTGAGTTTGGGATAGTCAGGCTTGCCAAAGATCTGCAACTGCGAAACGCTTTGTCCCCAATGTGGGTCACAGAGTTTGGGATGGTCAAGTCTGCTAAACGACTGCAAGCATCAAAGGCATTTCCCCCAATGTGGGTCACCGAGTTCGGGATGACAACTTTGGTCAACATGTTGCAGTCTACGAAGGCATGCTCCCCAATTTGAGTTTCGTGGTCTGGGATTTCAACCACAAAGGGGTGGTCCAAATCAAGATCACTCCCAAAGCTGGCAAATTCACCTTTCTTGGAGCATCTCGCGATGTTCGGCTTGAAAACAACAGTCACAACAGCATCTGCAACCTGCCCCGCATCCACCACCTCATCATTGTCAAGCAAACGGTCTCCAACAACAATCTCCACCACAGTAGTTTGGTGAGTGACCTCGTCCCAAAGCTGCCCTTCTTTGATCTGCTGCTTTAGCTCTTTGCCAGTCATCTCTGCCGTAACTTCCAGATGCATCAATTCACCATTGACCTGTCGTGCTGGCAGTCTGACAGCCATGGCTGCTTTGCGGAATGAGTGCAGCTAATCTTGAATGATTTCAGTCCAAACCTGCTTGGCTACTACTGTTGCAATGTTTATAGGTATTATACAGTCTAGGCGTCTTATAAGGTGGCCAGTTACAGTAATGGCTGGGGTAGCCCATGGACATACCATCCATGCAGAAGAACACGCTGATGGTAGCTGATCCAACCTTATGTCGATTGACGCATGGGCACAACCATGGCGTTTACTTTTCTGGCCCTGTGCTCAACAGCCAACTAGGGCAGTACAGGTACTGTGCTACTTACTTCAGGGTCACTGTGCGCAAATGCAAGGGTCACTATTCTTTCTGGCATTTCCTCGGGTCTACTGCAAATGAAGGAATCGACAAATAGTCCTCGGATGGCACAGCCACAACCCCAAAACAAGTTTGGACCCACACAATCTCAACCAGCATCCTGGTCTGTTGTTGGGTTCTGGTATAGGTGTCCTACGACAATTCTCGATTGTTTCTCAGGTAGGTTGCGACTCAACGGAAAACGCTATACTGCGAAATCGTTTGAAGGTGAAGACACATGTCTCTCGAGGAAAGTGCCCATTTGGCACAGTCGCAATTGCAGCCAGCAGGTTGCAGCCAAAGTCAAGAACAAAGCCTCACCGCGTTCCTTTTTAAAAAGTCCCCTCCGAGTGGCCCAAACTTGCTTGGAGCTGATGAGTTTCTGCCTGGCATCCCAGCTGCTACCTGAGGTCGGCACAGCCCTCGTTCTCGTCGTCTTCCCCCGGTCCCGGTCCCGGTCCGGCTCCGGGTTGGGAACAGGTGAAGCTGAAGCCTATGAGTCCAAAAACCCCGTAAAACCAGGTCATTTGCCTCCTTGAGTAGTGTTTTTGTATGACCAACTCAAGCAAAATGAGGTCATTGACTGAGAGGGGAAACTGAAACCATGTGAGGCGGGAAGTCTACCATGTGAGGTGGGAAGTCTACATGCTGGCGTCTCTCCCTCCTCATGCTGCACCACAACTGGCGGAAAACGACGCGAAAACGACGTTGCAGAACCCGTTCGATTCCTGGCATGACTTCTTCGAAGATCTTCGGAGTTGGGGCATGGTCAGGGTCCTTCACAAACTGCACCAACTGTGCCTCTTCCCCGGCCGCGTGAGTGACGCATCATGCATTGGCCCTTTTTATATCCAATTTTACTCCATGTATGGACCTTTGCCATGATATACCTACACTTGGGGGGCCGGGGGTGGTTTGCTCTTGAAGCCATTTTCTCAAACAACTCCAGAGTGAAGTCGAAGGATTGCACAAACGTTTTGGAAAGGCGTCGGGTGGTTTCCACCGGCATGGTCGATCGATTCGGGTTTTGCAGTGGTTTCAGAATGTTTCCGGGTAAATGGCACTGGCACAGCAACATGTCTTTTAGATGGGGGTCCCTATAAACTACAAACCACCAAACTTGATCAAACTTGGAGATTTTGCCATCCACTCTCAATCCACCACATCTTACGGCTTGTAGTCTCAGCCATTGCCTCTTCAACGTCGCCTGGACCAAACAGCTAAAATCGCCTGGGCCATGGCTCGACTGCCCGGACCAAGCCACACACGTGCTTGTAGAGCCAACCGTCCAAGCGCATGGGCGTGGCATCCTGGAGGTTCGGACCGGTAGAAGCAGGGCCGCAGGACCGGTGGGTGGTAAGAAACATTCACACATCACTCCCCTGTTGACGTGACCATTGAAAGACCTTCATGTCTCAGACCTGACCCTGGGTCACCCATTGAGGACCCTAGTAGCTGAGGCCGGGCTATCAAAAAGAAAATTATATAATTGGTATCAAAAACAAAAAATCATTGCACAAAAAGCTTCGCCTGCCACTGCGAACCGCCTTGGCAACGCTGCGCGATGTGAATCTGGATGTGCAGATTTCGTGGCAGGAGCGGCACTTTGTCCACTGGAAGTGCAGATTTCGTGGCAAGCACAGCACTTTGAGCACCTCCAGTAGCAGGTTTCGTGGCAGGAGCGGCACTTTGTGCACTGGAACTGCAGATTTCGTGGCAGGCGCAGCACTTTGAGCACCTTCAGTTGCAGGGCCCGTGGCAGGCGCAACATTTTGCGCACTGGAACTGCAGCGCTTCGTGAACCTCGAACAGATTGCGTGGCAGGCACGGCGCTGGGTGAACCTCGGTCCGCAGCGATTGCGAACCTCGAAGTGCCGATTGCGTGGCGTGGCAAATTTTCTGCGGATCTCAACACCTGTGAAAAGAGCTCTTGACATCTCATATATAACATATATATAGTCATATATATATATACATATACTAGATTTTTTCTGTTGATTCCCAACCACTCTCCATTCGACTCTGCTCCTTGGGCACTCGATGGCAGGCGAAAGGGCCCAAGTCGAAGGGACGGTCGCCTTCTTCGGGGCGAGCTTCGGGGCGAGCGCTGCTGGGAATCTTGTAAAGTTGCCATTCCCAATCTGCCAGGACCCTCCAAGGGGTGTCTATTTAGTCCCTTAGCTGTTAAGGAGTGTCCATTAACCACCCCTTGCAGGGTCCTGGTAGGCACGTCTACTACTTGTTCTACTAATGGTGACGTGGACTATCAGGCAGAATGGATTCAGACCACATGTTCCATCATGTTGGAAAGCAAACGTTGTTCTACTGTAATGGTGATGCGGACTAGCACCAGGTACACTGATGTTTTAAGTGACACTGTTCACGGAGAAGTCCTGCTTAGAGCTACCCAAACACCGGCTTGAACTGCGGCTCAAGCACAGTGGCACTACAGCGGCCATTTTCGTTGGCTCATCAACACTTCATGGAGTCTGTCTGTGCACCGTGGGTACTCTTCCGATCTCTGTAGGACTCCAAATCCACCAATAAGTTCTGAAAAAGCACATCCACCACGTCCCCTGAACAAGCGGCTTGTTGGACTTCAGTCTCACGTCTGATCCCTGCCTGGTCGGCAGGCCGGATTCTCCAAGGCCAGCGCCCGGCTTGAGAAGGCCAGGCGGCTTTGGCCCAGCCGCCATGTCCGGCAAGCCAACATGGCGCCATGAAGAAGCGAATGAAGCAACTCAAAGGACACTCTCCTCACATGGACCCTCAAAGACTGAGTGGCTCAGTGGCTGTCTTGACAGACCTTGGGTTCTGGCGAGGCGTCCACCGCTTCGGCTTCTTTCGCTCTTCACATCTCTTCACGTCGACGTCTTTTGTTTGATGAAATGATCAGCACTTCGAGCACAAGGCCTGCTGCTTGTGAGCGGTGCCATGCATATATACTTCATGGGCTTAGATAATTATAATGGGACGAAGAGTTGATGCGTGAATTGATGTGAGTGATAGGGGAAAACCCTTCTCACTTCTCATAACCCGCTTCCAGAACCTTGTAAATATACAAATAGTTAGCCTTGCCCCGTGTCAACGGTTTAGCACAGGGGCCTTCGGCTTTGAGTCATGAAAAGGGGCCTGAGTCCGGTCGCCGTCCCCCGGCTGGCCGCAGAAACGGACCCGATTCGGGCATCGAGTGGCGAGGTCGATTTCTCGATCATGCAGTTCATACATCCCAACAGAGGTACCGAGGTAGTTAAGTGACCTTATAGGACCTACGAGTATGTATGAACTGCCTGGATACAGTGACCTGTAGGATAGTCGATCATTTCTCGATCAACAGAGGTTAAGTTACCTGAACTAGGACCCTACAGGGGTACCTAATACTAATGGTTCTAGTTCGGGTTCTTCAACCTCTGGTCTACCCTGCAGTCCCTGCTTCCAGTACTGGAGAGTGATGTGGGCTCACCTCCCCTGGTGAACACCAACAAAAACGTGGATCTCGAGAACATCTGCTGATAGTTTGCCCACCCACCCAAGGAAGACCTAGAAACCCCATAGACAAGCTACCCCCCAGTACCTCCAACAGAACTCCATTTGCGACTTCACTTGCGACCTTGTGTCTTGTCAAGAGCCTTCCTCTCGCAGACCTGCTGGAGAGGGTTGGTGCTGAAACCTGTGGCTGGGGCAACCCTTCAACCTTTTTGTCGCTGATGTTCCCCATACTGACCAGGGAACATTTCCTCGACACAGTCTGACACTGAATTATCTGCAACCACATTGGGCTGCGAGGCAGCGTACGGAAGCAAGTCTGGTCAATCTGTATGACCTTGACCATTCAAGGATTCAAGAATACATAAGAATCCTCTAGTCTTGGACCTGCCCATTGGAGCTGTTGTTCGGAGCGTTTGCATGTACCATTGCACTTTCGTCGTAGCATTGCTTGACCAAACACGCCGGCGCCATGAAGCAAAGGCTTCTGCGGGCATGTGGCCCACAAACTCACGTCAAACACACCTGGACCCTCCAGTTCGCACCCTAGAAAATGGGACATGAGCCATTTGAAACAAATGTTTGATGATAATTATTGGTCAGGATCATCCAATGGGTGTCCAGTCTAGACTCTAGACTACCCTACCCTACGTATCCCTACGTCAACAGGTCTACTCCAGGGCACCCGGGTCCAGTGTCAGTGCTAGGTACCCCTTTTCGAAGGTGCGAACGGATTCTCCGGGTACTTTTTGTTCAGCGACATTAAGGCCCAGTGTCCTGAGACATGTGTTGCGACGACGACGTGACATGTGCTGCGTCTCGGTCGAGAAAAGTGTCGACCCCTTGGGGCAGCGAGTCCAACAGCCAGAATCCGGGCCCAAAGCAATGGAAGGCCTGAATAGAAGGTCACCCCTGCGTTTTGGAGGGCCCTTTCGGATTCTTAGGATGGTTACAAACTCTTCGTGTTAGGAAAATGCCGGTCAGCCATGAGGGCTGACAGAATATCCCACACATTCCTGTGCGAAAAGGTGTTTGCAAACAGGAACCTGGAGTGCGGGGTCCTTTTTCACTGCGTCAGCGGTCCGGATTCAAATACTGAGAATATCTATATACCAACTAGCACCGGATCAGGTTGTAACGCAACTATAGGGCACACTCATATACCCCAGTCACCAGCAGCAGAAAACACATGTTGGCCGCTCTAAAGAAAACCCTTGATTTGATTTGAACAAATCATGGTGAAGCAATCCCCAGTCTGTTCACCACTCACTATACAGTAGACGCTGATGCTTTCGCAACGGGTAAACCGGTGTAAACCGTTAGTAACCCGGTGCGGTCAAATACCAGACGCGCGCGATGTCGCAATAAAAAGAAAAAATATGTTCCACTTTCATGACTTGTAGGAAACCAAGTGAAGTCTGCCAAGATTAATGGATCGTTGAGGGCCAGGGTCACAACTTTTGAATCTTGCAACGGGCTTTTGGTCCATCCTCTTTTCTACATTAATTAACACACACACATATATATATATATACAAGACAAACACAAAAGAGAGAGAGAGAGAGAGTGACGGAGCGAGGGAGGGAGGGGAGGGAGGGAGGGAGGGAGGGGAGAGGGCCGCTCATGCCTTACTGATCGCCAAGCCTAAATCGTCTGACTACAATTGTGTCAGCTTCCCAAGTTAATATACACAAAGGTTATATAACCCTCTTTCATACTTTCAGGGAATTTCAGGAAGATCAAATCAATCCCCAAACATTCTGGTCATGAATCACGCCGCCGCGCCGCCTACGGGCCCATATATATAATTTACATAATATGCATATGCCTGCCTATATATATATATATACATAGCACTGGAGCCTCTCCAGCTTTGTGGCCGAATTCTGGGCAATTTGGATTGCCTTCTCCCAGTCAAGGGGACCAATACAAGTCTACAGCGATTGCAAGGCTGTTGTTCGGTGCTTTACTTCGCTTGTTCACACAGGATGCATCCACCCTCACTGGCGCTGCCAGGAGTGGTGGCGTACATTGCACAAAGTTTTTCTTGCTCGCAAAACTGTCCACTCGCAGCCGTTGGCTGTCACATGGATTCCTGCACATAAATTTGAGGGGAAAGAGATTTGGCAAATTCATCCTCAAGAGGCTCGTGAAGCAGGCACAACTCTCGAACACATCCTTCGGAATCGTCAAGCTGATCAAGCTGCGAGGCAGTTGGCCATCCGAATTGCACCTATATATCCGGCTGCATACCAGGCGTTTCAGAATGCCGCGCTCCGCCACCAAACTTGGTTGGTGCGACTTCACTGTTTGCTGTCCACCAGGGACGATATTGCGGACGCACATCCTCTGCCTCAAGAAGTTTTTACATTGGATGTGGCGAGAACGACATTTCCTAAATGGCCCTGGAAAGCATCGCGAAGCGATTTCTCCTGGCGGCCCAAAGTTCCCGAGAACATTGACCCACCTGCCAAGTGGAATTACACCCCTGGCGACTGGAGAGAGATCTGTCGATTTGCACAGCGGTTGAGGTGGCAAGCAAGAGAAGACACCGCCGTAGCCTTTTGCGAACTTGCGGTACTTTTTCATCACCAAGGATTTAAGATCCATGGTGATTACGAAGTTGTGACAATGCACACCGTAGCCTGTATGATCCGCCAGGCTTTTCGCATGTTGCTCAAAGATGACAGGGTCCAAATCTGCCCTGGCCACTTTTCGGCCACCTTCGTTAAATCGGAAGGCAGGACCCTCTGTCAGAGCGCAGTTGTACAGGCATCTCCCTTTTTGATGAAGCTGCCCTTTTTACGTTGGCACAGGTTTTACGTTCGGGACCTGGACGCACAATCCAGTCTTGGCGTGTTCCCTTTTTGAAGAGTTAGGCTCCGTTGGCCCTTGTCACTGCATGAGGGGTTCTGTGTATGGCACGACCTGAGAGTCGCCCATACCGTCGTCGCAGACCGACCGACGCGTGAGGTATATATATGTATATAGTATATATTATCGGTATATACATACTTCCCGCGTTCATGCGCGTTCCGTGTTTCCGTTTCCGTTTCCGGTGTCCGCCCCGTTCGTTCGTCTGCTCCGACCCGGTCCTCACGCGGTGGGCTTCTCGCGCTGAAGGATCACGGCGGGCCAACTCAATTGCATGCTACCGAAGGCAGGTCCACCAGCTGGTTCCCAGCCACGTTGCATGAGCTCGCCGAGGATCACCTCCATGGGGTAACCTGCAGACTTGCCAAAAAAACTTTAAAAAAAAGACACCCAAATCGCCTTGGAATAATCAATCATGATAATCACCCATACACTCCATGGGGCTGCCATATATGCCGCCCCATTGACCCCCAAAACCCCCCCCACCTGATCGGCATATATGGCAGTCCCATGGAGTGTATGGGTCATGGCAGGTCAAAAACATCGGAGCTCCAAACCTTGGTGTGCCTGGTGGTCATGATCGGTGGTCAACCATGGTGCCCCCCTGTTTTGACCCACTGCCCTATGCTCAAAGCCGGTAGTTTGTGGCATTTTAAGTCACCAAGATTTGGTGATGGCATGTCATGATGTCAGATGCCTTGCTGGAACTTGGTTCAAAGGCATTCAACAGCAACAAAGTCCTCCTCGACTCAAAGGGGGCACGAGGTTTGCCTCTTTGCATCTGTGCCTCACCTGCGCATGCCCGTACCACAACGGCGTGGCTATATTTAAATCTTCAGCTGCATCGTCTGCGCTTTGCGACTCGGCACGTCTCAAAGGCACCATCGCCAATGCGGTTTAGCGAGTCCGGGATGGTCAAGTAAGACCTGCAACCCACAAAGGCATGATCTCCAATGTCGGTCACTGAGTCTGGGATGGTCAAGTTCACCAAAGAGCTGCACTTCCAAAAGGCATTCT